CTCCTTCGAACATTGGCATCATTATCTTCGGTTTCGCACGTACGTGCTCCTCTCGATGACGCCGATGGCCATGCATCCTGCGATCGCCGTGGTGTCGGGTAGTGCGCGTTGCGCGCGTTTCCCGCGACCGTTCGTTGTCGTCATCGCGACTAGACGTCGAACTGCCCGTTCCCGCCATGGTTGATCTCGATGTGCGGCTCCTTCGCGTATGGTGGTTGACTCTCTCGAGCTGTCCCGCCAAGTCGTGTATCATCAGCTCCAACTTTGCCATGTTTTTATTGACCACGTGTTGTCCGTTGCCAAGGGACCTCACGCTTTCCTCAAGTGCATCGAATCTCTCACGATTCGTCATGACTCTTCCTTTTTTTTAAGACTCTATAAAATAATTCGAACAAGTCAAACCAAAAAGAAAGAAAAACAAAAGAAATTCGTCCCCTTCAACCAAAAGGTAATAACCGAAAAAAAATCAAACAAAAGGACTAGATGACACTTTTTTTTTTTTAAGAAAAAAATTCGAAAATTTTTGGGTAAAAATTTGAAGAAATTCGAACCCCTAAATCGACCAAAAAAAAGAAAAAGAATGGGATAGAAAAAGTTCACGAACACCCAATCGATCACTCTCAATGATTTCACCAATGATGACGGATCGGGTGTTGCGTTCCCTCGACTTGTCTCGATCACGGCTTCGCCACGGACTTGCTCTCGACGATAGGTGTGATCGACTCGGTTATTAGCCTAACTCTCTCACGATACTTGAGTTCACTCGGGTATTAGCCTCGCTACACTCTCGAAATAGATCGGGTCTTAGCCTCTCTGAATCGTTGAACTGGCTTGGGTCTTAGCCTCACCAATTCGATTGCATGATCGAACCTTACGACTCTAACACACGGTTTTGAACAAACGTTCTTTTCTATTTCATCATTCTTGGACATCCAAAAACAATGAGGGATGATCCCTATTTATAGATCCTAATTACTACTAATTCTAATCTACCTAGGAAACATATTAAAGCAATAAAATATTAACTTTCTAAACATTCTAGATACTATTGTGCAAGAAGGAAACTAAATATATCAAAGTCCTAAATTGACTAGATCTTGATTTTGCTTGGCTTGCACTCCAAACAAATCCCATCACACGCCCATATCTCTCGGCCGCCTCATACGCGCACCGCCTTCGCACGCCTATTCCTCGGTGGGTTTGGTCCCTGCGCGCGCGCTACACGCGTGTGATACGGAAGTGGCTTTGGAGTCCGGAGAGTCTAGAAAGGAGCGACAAGGCATAAGGTGCGCATCGGCACTTGATGCGCACATATGGGCGAACAAGCCGCGCATGCCGGGTTGGCGGGGTGTACGCGGGGGCGCCGTATGCGATACGGGCCTGGGCCGTGGCTGGGACACGCGCAGGCGGGCAGGAAGGCGCGAGGTTGGCGCGGCAGGATCAGGCGTGCGTAACACATGCGTGGGTGGTTGGGACGCGCGCGAAGCCGCGGGAAGGAACGACAAGCGTGCGGGGGCGCGCGAGTGGGTGGTATGCACGGGCGCTTGCCTAGGCGCGGTAGGCATAGGGAAGGTGCGCAGGCAGGCACGCGCAAGAGGAATGGCGGCAATGCTGGGCGCGCGCACGGGCGCGCGCGTGCGATACGGACACGCGAGTCCTAGGGCGACGAGGACTAGGAGACACGGACGGGCGGCGCGCGCATGCGCGAAGGACGCACGCGACGCGTATGGAAGGCAGCCGAAATTGGTTTTAATTAGGGAGCTTCTAGATTTGCTTGGTGTGCAAGCCAAGCATTAGTACTTTGGTAGCTTTAGGATTTTATTGCTTTCTAGACTTAGGATTTCTA